TCACTATGCTAATCGCATCCCCTAACTCTGACTAGGGGGGAATCTATGGAATAACATTATCTTCATCTAGGGGTTTATATAAACATGAACAATATAATTTCAAAGACTAAAATAAACTCAGGTGAAGAGTCTTTAACCTGAGGAATGTTTCCCCTTTCATGACAAAAACCAACTTCCTATTTCTTGTTTCAGATGAATGAATCTCCTCTTCACCAGTGATCCTGTTCATGACGTAGACATGGAGCTATAAGGAGGGCCTCAAGCCACTGGAGCAAACCACAGCAGCCTGGCGGGGCTGTGGGATGGGCAATAAACTGCCAGTCTTTTCCTGAAGGATGAAGATCTAGATAGTATCACAAGGAACCTAGGTTGGTGGACAGGACATCATCTGCTCACAGACATCATCTCGGCAGGGTGCACTGACCTCTGGAGAAGATCTATTTGATTCATTTGAGTTACTGTCTATGGCACTGGTTATTTGGAAAGGACATCCCTTTGAAAAGTTAAAATCAAGTTGCAGGTAGTGATTTGGGAATATTTCACCAGCTGTTTAGGAAATCCTAGGTTCTCATGTTGTCTACATTTATGACTTTGTATACTTGCAAAGAAACTAAAAATTAATATGTCTCTTTTCTGTGAAGCTTCTTTAAAATTCACATCTTCAATACTCTTATATATACATGAATATATGTAAATAGCCAAAGGAATATATGTAAATACCAACTCTCCTTGGTAGTTTCCATTCTACATATTTAGCTGGATCTTTTCAACCAAAATGTAAATCTGCAATGTATTCTAATGTAACCCAATTAGAGTACTAACACCATCTGTATATATATTTTTGGTTCAGCTGTCAAAAAACACACAAATACACCCCAGTAATACAGTATTCAATAGCTGTATGATATTTCATTGTACTATACTTCATTTAACCTTTTGTCTATTTTTAAAATGAATCAATTTTTACTTTTTTCCTTTTACAATTAGTATTTTAGTGCATATTTTAATAGATAAGTATTCACATCCGATCTTTTTTGGAGGATAGATTATTAGAAGTGGAATTACTGTTGCAAACTATGAAACTATGTACAATTTTAAACTATATATTTTAAATTTTTTTTATTTTTATTTATTTATGATAGTCACACACAGAGAGAGAGGCAGAGACACAGGCAGAGGGAGAAGCAGACTCCCTGCACAGAACCTGTGGCAGGACTCGATTTCAGGACCCCAGGATCACAGCCTGAGCCAAAGGCAGATGCCCAACCACTGAGCCACCCAGGTGCCCCTAAACTATACATTTTTAAGTAAAAACAAACACATGTATTTAAAAAGTCAACTACAAGACTTCTAACAAAACAGCCTACCACTCTCCAGACCTTATCTGTTCTGTGTCCCTCGGTTTAGCTATTTCTTCTGCTATTTAACAGTGCTTTTCCTTGATTTTAAATTTTAGACATTATCTACTGATCCTACCATGAAAGGAATAATTACATTTCTTACATGATGAAACATACTCTTTTTCCCTACCCTCCTCCCACTGATGACACTCTTTGGTTTAATATTCAATATTCTGTATTTATATTTTTATGCTGTATAAATATTATTCTCAAAGCCACGTAGAGTATTATGCTGTATTTCCTTTCTTATACATTTATAATTTTTACACAACAGCTAATAACTGCTTATCTTCATCCATATGTTTCATGTGGCTGCTTTAAAACTTGGCCCCAAATTCCTTGACATTCTTCCCATTGCTAGGTGAATCTACAAACTGTTCTTTATTGCTGGTGGCCTTGTGACTGATAAGAAACGATGGAAATGACTGTGCGCGCTTTCTGAGACTGGTCATAAAAGAAGATGCAGTTGGGATGCCTGGGTGGCTCAGTGGTTGAGTGTCTGCCTTTGGCTCAGGGTGTGATCCTGGTGTCCTGGGATCGAGTCCCACATCAGGCTCCCTGCATGGAGCCCACTTCTCCCTCTGCCTATGTCTCTACCTCTCTCTTTCTGTCTCTCTCATGAAAAAATAAATAAAATCTTTAAAAATAAATAAATAAAAGAAGATGCAGTATCCACCTTGTTTGCTGGAACACTTATGTTTGGAATTTTGAGCTGACAAGTAAGAAATGCGACTATTCTGAGGCTGCCATGCTGCAAGGAAGGCAAGCTAAATGGAGGACCCATATGTGAGTACTCTGGTTGGTCAGCAACATGGTCTCGACATTCCAGGTGCCAGTATGAGTTGAATCTCCAAATGATTCCAGTGCCCAGTACTGCTGAGTCACCTCCAGCCTCTGGGTCATTCCAGCTGAGGCCCCAGTTGTCATGCAGTAGTCACCTTTGTGTGCTGTCCAAACTCCTGACTCACAAAATTCACGAACATAATTACACAGTTATCTTAAACAGCTAAGTTTTGGGGTAATTTCTTATGCAGCAACAGTAACTGGAACACTTAGTTTTCTATGTCTCTGTTGTCAATTTGTCTTTAATTCTCAACATGGTTGAGGCACCTGGGTGGCTCAGTGGGTTAAGTGTCTGCCTTCAGATCAGGTCATGACCTCGAGGTCTTGTGATGGAGTCCAGTGTTGGGCTCTCTGCTCAGTCTGGAGTCTGCTTCTCCCTCTTAATTGCCCCCACACCCAATTCATATGTGTGCATGCACATGCTCTCGCTCGCTGTCTCGCAAATAAATAAAATCTTAAAAAAATATCCTCAATATGGCTAAGCATGTTAGTTCCATTGTTTTCCTTAGAAAAATTCCTCCTGGAGACCTCTGTCCTCTTCTTCCAATCTGGACTAGATGCACAGCCATTAGCCCAGCACTTGCTTGGATGAGAGACAGTGTAGCATGTCACTTGCTACTTAAGGATGTGGGCCCCTTTGCAAAACTGCCTGGATTTGAATCGTGGCTCCACTACTTGCTAGCTGTGTGACTGTGTGCAAGTTCATTTCTCCATACCTCAGGCTCATTAGTAGAGTGCTTGGCACACAGTAAGTGCTCTTACTATTGGCATTATTATTATTCTTCCTTTCATGTCATACTGGGAATTCCCACTGCCCCGAGCCTATGTCTAATCCTAGTTCCTAGATTCCATGTCCTTCTCTTTCTTGGTTACTTCTTTGTCTTAATAAAATACATCACCCAAAATATATCTCTTGAGAAAAGATGCTTGGGAGGTAAAGTTTTTCGAGACCTTGTGTATCTGTTTTGAATTGTCTTTCTTTAACATCGCACTTGATAATGTGACAGTCATAAAAGTCTAAGTTGGAAACAATTTTCTCTTTGAATGTTGAAGCTATTAGTCCATTGTCTTGAAGCTTTCATTGTCACTACTGAGAGGCTCAGTATGTCGGGTTCTGATTCTCCATCCTTCGTATGTCGGGTTTTCTTTTTCTTCCTGGAGGTATTAGGTTCTCTTTTCATCCCCATTGTTTCAAAATGTGATAATAATGTGACTTGGCATGAGCCTTTTAAAATTAATTATTGAGGGCACTGTTTCAATTTGGAAACTTAGGTCCTTCAAGTCTTAGGATTTTTCTTTTCTTAGCAATTTGTTGTTGCTGTTAATCTTCCTACCTCCATTTTCGGTTTTCTCTCTCTGGGACTCCTAATAAGTATTGGATCTGTTGAACTGAATTCTCTTATTTTCTCTTCTATTGACTTTTTGTTCAACTTTCTGGGCGATTTTCTCATTCATATCTTCTGTTCTTCTGATTTTAAAAAAATCTGCTTTCAGATTTTTCTGTTTTATGATTCTGATGTCTTACTCTTGGACTGTCCATATTTTATGTATCATCTGTTCTTCCTTCATGACTTTAATGTCTTTTCTCACTGAGTAGATTGATGATAGTGCTTTGGAATGTCTTTCTTTGTTGCACGGTCTGTTTCCTCTAAATTCCCTTTCCATCAGTTTGCTTTTGACCCCTTCTTTCATGGCAGAGGCTTTCCTCAAATGCCCAGTGGTCCTCTCTTACCTACTCTATTTCAGTGGGATATACTGTGCACTTGGATACCCTAAGGCTCGTCACTCAGTGGGCCTCCGTGTGGGATGTAGGAGAGCTGTGTGGATATGTGGCATGAGGGAGCCCCAAGCATCCATGTCCGCAGGTCTCTTCTCCTGGGCTTGAGATTCCCCAGAAATGAGTCCTCTCATTTTCTACCAGGTGAATATGAGGGATTTTAAGCCTGCTGATGGCATTTTGAAAGCCAATAAGGGAAGAGGGTGAGAAGAGAGAACATCTTATGGTTCCAAAAGCAGATATCACTTAGGCTCTCTCTGCTTTAAGTATGGCTGCTCTCCCTGCCTCAGCTGTGCCTGGTTCCCCAAGTCCAGTCTCACATTAACCCAATCAATTAAAACAAAGCTACATAAATTCCATGAAGCTGTGGGTAAAAGGGCACTACTTTATCATTCTAGAGTTTCTGGATTAAAAGGAAATAAAAAAAATTCCCTCTCAGCCTTTATGCCTTCTCTTCTGCAAAAAAGTAGGAAATTCACCCAGTTTAAACCCCTTTCCCCCCTCTGTCTTCACCACTTTTTTTTTTCTTTTCTTTGATAATACCTCAGGATTTGAGTATTCAGGGTCCAAGTTTGTTTTAAAATAACCCAATGAGCTGACAGACGGAGCTTCTGGAATTCTGCAGCTTGTGCTAGAGTCTGCAGATGGGAAATTGCCGTCAGTTAAAGGGTGGTGCTATTAGCATAGCCCAATTTTTGAAAGCCTTTAGGAAAAAAAAAATCCTCTGAGTTAATTAGCATCCACCACAGGCACTGGTTTTGTGTTGCAGTATTCTAAGAATTCCGATAATAAGAAAACAGTATTTCAATCTCTAACTTTTAACTAACACTTGCCTCAAAGACACATATGATAAAGTACGAATGTTACCTGTTATATGAAAATGGTCTTATTATATGGTTCATCATGAAATACCAATTACGTTCTAAAATCAACTAAATACAATTCTAGTGATACCTAAAATAGGAACAGTTTTGTTTTACCTCTCCAATCTGCTTCATCCACAAATCTCTTCCAAGAAACTCCTGATGTAAGACCACGGGAGCTGAGTTTAGATTAAAAGTCACGGAGTCACTTGTCTTTTCTTTAATGAAAGGCTGGAGATCAGAATTTATCTGGGAGGGGTAGTCAGAAGAGTTAAATTGGTAAAATGCATACACATTAGCCTGTTTTAGTTACTTCAGAAAGACCCAGTTCATGCAGTGAAAAATGGAATATAGCTCTTAGATGAACTTTTTTTTTTAGATGAACTTTAATAAGCAAAAGAACAGTCATGTGAGTAACAATCTTTAAAATTCTTTAAAATAATTTTCCTCTGACATATTTCTTTTCTCTTTGGCAACAGATTTTGTTTTACTTTTTAAGCTAAAAGCAATAATTTAAATAAAGTTTTAATAAATAGAATTGCTTAATAAATAAATCTAAGGTTTAATAAAATATACAAAAACTCATCTGGAGATATTTTACATGTATTTAACATATATATATATTCTCATCTCTTAAGAGCTATGTAAGTAACATTTAAGAAATATATACTAGGGGATCCCTGGGTGGCTCAGTTTAGCGCCTGCCTTTGGCCCAGGGCGTGATCATGGAGTCCAGGGATTGAGTCCCACATCAGGCTCCCTGTGTGGAGCCTGCTTCTCTCTCTCTCTCTCTCTCTCTCTGTGTGTCTCTCATGAATAAATAAATAAAATCTTTTTTTTTTTTAAAAGAAATATATACCAAATGGAATTTTTAGGTTACATATATAGAAGAGAGCTAACTTGAGACTTTTATTTATTTATTTTTAAAGATTTATTTATTTATTCATAAGAGACACAGAGAGAGAAGCAGAGACATAGACAGAGGGAGAAGCAGGCTGCTTGCAGGGAGACTGATGTGGGACTCGATCCCCGGACTGAAATCTCGCCCTGAGCCAAAGGCAGATGCTCAACCGCTGAGCCACTCAGGCATCCCTAACTTGAGACTTTTTATATTTCATTATGTCCATTCAAAAGAATCAATTATTAGAATTAAAGCTTTCAATTTTACTCCGTATACTTCTAAATTTCACTAACTTTCCATAATTTGTTTTATGTAAGAAACTGCAGGGAACTGTAACAAAAATGCAAATTCTTTCATTCTGTAAATGGCAACATTACATGTTATTTAATAATTTGGAAGAGTTCTCTCAAGAACCCTTTCAGGTAGTAAGAAAAGACAAACACCCCAAATATGGTGTAAGTTGTAGCTTTCTATCAAAATTACATGGTATTTACCAAGCATGCTGTTTATATTACATAACAATCATCATCTTATGACTGATAGATTTTAAGCGTACAATAAACATTTTTTTGAGATATAAAAGCAGCTTATTAAATGGCAAGAAGTTTCTTATGTATCATTTTAGCTATTTAAGTACTGGAAAAGGAGAAAATGTGCAAATACCTTATGACTCATGGCCATGTGCTTCCCATACTGAAATGCCATATCCTGAACGTCAGCATCATGCTTTGCTAATTCCATGGCAGCTTGGCAGCTCTTTGCTAATAAGGCACCATGGGAGAGAAAAGTCTGCTCCTTCCAAGTCGATATTCCAATATCTTCTGTGATATGATTTTCCTAAAAAATGCAACAGAGAGGATTCTACAACATGTTTTAGGAGCAATTTTATTGTTTTGGTTTTTGAAGAATAGAAGAATTAAGAAATTAACTATTTAAAACACTCAGGCTATTGCATCAAGACAGAACTAGAGGATGCTAAACCCCAGTTCTAACTAAAGAAAACTAAGGGGGTGGGAATTGCTGTTTCAGGGTATTGGCGGGAAAAATGAAATGCTGAAGTCAATTTTATTTTGAACTAGGACACTTCTATTAAAATTTATTTGTAGGATATGGCAAAATTAGAAACTCAGACCTCCAAACTAACTCCCTTCTATACTCATGTAAGTTTTGAGTGCAGTATTCCAAAACACAAGAAGCCTATTGCCTTTAACTTATGTGGAAATGTCAAGGGCATAATGAAGAAATGGCATTCTCTTAGAAACAGTTAAAAAAATCACAGAGGAGGTAACACATTACAATGGAGTATGATTGATATATTATCCATCCAAATTTATTCCCATAAATAGAAACAAGGACATAGGGAGTATGTAAGTATAGTTTTTTTAATTTCATCTTTTTAAATTATGAAAATCATTGTAGTATCTATAAGTATACACACATCTACTGTACTGCCTCTAGACCAGTAATGTCCAATAAAAATATAATGTAAGCCACATATGTAATTTAAAATTTGCCAGTAGTTACATTAAAAAGTGAAAAGAAACAAGTGAAATTAATCTGAAATTAATCTTTATGACATATCTATCCTAATATATCCAAAATATTATTTCAACATATAACCAATATAAAATTGAGATATTTTATACTTTTCATACTAAGTTCTCAAAAATCAGTGTGTAATTTACACTTTCAACACATCACTAGCCACATTTCAAGTACTTAGTAGCTATAAGGAATTAGTGGCTGCCTTACTGGACTAGTCTGCTCTAACTGTGGGCTCCCTGAGGATAAGAATGATGATCAAGGTATATAAAACAATGTTCATTTTTTTGATAATTTAAACTAACTAGAACCCATCCAGAAGGGTTAACTAAACCAAACACTTTCTTCCTGCTACCATACCATGATCTTCCTTCCATCATCATTTGAGGACAAAATAAAATAATAAGAAGAGAACAGGACCATGAAAAGGTCAGTTTAGATCTAGCCCTACTTATTTCACCATGCTGAAGATAGGTATCTTCAGCCCACTGGTCAGATCAAATTCTCAGCTTAGTTTTATTTATTATGACTTAAACAACAAAAAAGTTCCACTTATGGTAACAGTTGCAAATGTGCAATATAACATTTTGTAGTAATAAAAAAGGCCACCCAAGGGAGAAACAGTACATAAGAGGTTTTATCAAACATTAGGTATATTATACCTAAATAATAACATATTTAATTTTAGGTATCTGAGAATATATTTTTATATGTACAAAGTTAACATACCATATTAAGAAATCAAAGATAAAAACCATATTACCTCTCTCTATATATATATATTAAATAGGCATTTAACAAAATTCAACTTCTATTCTTGAGGGGGGAAAAATCTAAATAAAATAGGAACAGATGTATATTTCTTTAATATGATGTGTTTGTGTCAGCCCCAAAGTCAGCAAATACTTCTAAAGAAACATGAGTCTTTTTCACTAAGTCAAGAATAAGAGAGATGCACAACACCACTGTTGTTTAATAGTGTAATGGAAGAGGCAAGAAAAGGACAGATATACTAGAAAGGAAGATTTTTAAAAAGATTTTATGATTTTATTTATTTATTCATGAGAGGAACAGATAGAGAGAGGCAGAGACACAGGCAGAGGGAGAAGCGGGCTCTCCACAAGGAGCCCAATGCAGGATTTGATCCCGCATCTCAGGACCATGCCCCGAGCTGAAGGCAGAAGCTCAACTGCTGAGCCAACCAGGCATCCCTAGAAAGGAAGATTTTAACTCTCACTATGTGAACACAATACAACTGTATATTGGAGAAAACTAGAAGACTCAACTAAAAACTACACTAAATAAGAAGATAATTCAATAAGTAGCAGCATATAAAATGAGTATAATTGATAATATGATAAATGTATTAACCATAGTTTTCATGCATAAACAATAATAGGAAGTATTATAAATAGGGTCTTTTCTTCCATTATATCTATGAAAAGATTAAAAAGCTGGGAAGAAACTTAGAAATGTGAAAAACCGATACAAAGAAAATGTGAAGGGACGCCTGGGTGGCTCAGCACCTGCCTTCGGCTCAGGTCATGATCCTGGAGTCCCAGGACCGAGTCCCACATCAGGCTCCCTGCATGGAGCCTGCTTCTCTCTCTCCCTATGTCTCTGCCTCTCTCTGTGTCTCTCATGAATGGATAAATAAAATTAAAAAAAAAAAAAAGAAAATGTGAAAATACTAGTAAAGGAACACAAGTAACTTGAAAGAATATAAAAACATATCATGCTTAGAGACAGTACAGTCCAACTCCATAAAGTGTACTCCATTAAACTAAAAAAAGGGTGCCTAGGTAGCTCACTCAGTTAAGCTCCTGCCTTTGGCTCAGATCGTGATCCCAGGGTCCTGGGATGGAGCCACTCACAGGGTTCCTTGCTCAATGGGGAGGCTGCTTCTTCTCTCTTTCTGCCTGCCACTCCCCCTGCTTGTGCTATCTTTCTTTGTCAAATAAATAAATGAATCTTAAAAAAAGAAGAAGAAGGAGGAGGAGGAGGAGGAGAGCAGTGTGTGGGGGCCTGGGGGAGGGAGGTGGATGGGAACAGCAACAGATGTCTAGCCCTACTAGACATTGTAACTATAAAGATATCACATATTATACTATAAAGCCTTATTTATTTATTTATTTATTTATTTATTTATTTATTTATTTATCTTTTAAAGATTTTATCTATTTATTCACGAAAGAGAGAGAGAGAGAGAGAGAGAGAGAGAGAGAGAGGCAGAGACACAGGCAGAGGGAGAAACAGGCTCCACGCAGGAAGCCCAACGTGGGACTCGATCCCTAATCTCCAGGATCACACTCCCGGCTGAAGGCGGCACTAAACCGCTGAGCCACCCCGGCTGCCCAAGCCTTAATAATTAACAAAAAATGTGTACTTTTTTATTTATTTATTTAATTTTTTTTAATTCATGATAGTCACACACAGAGAGAGAGGCAGAGAGAGAAGCAGGCTCCATGCAGGGAGCCCGACGTGGGATTCGATCCCGGGTCTCCAGGATCACACCCTGGGCCAAAGGCAGGCGCCAAACCGCTGTGCCACCCAGGGACCCCAATGTGTACTTTTTATACAGAAAGACAACTGGACAAATGAGAAAGTCCAGAAATCAAACTATATATAAGAATATATTAAATTTTAGGAAAAAAAAAGGACTTTTCAGTAAATGGTGCTGGTACAACTGGATAGCTGTCTGGGGAAAAAAACAGACTGTTCTGCATTATACCATTTATAAGGGTAAACTCCAGGGATGCCTGGGGGGCTCAGCGGTTGAGTGTCTGCATTTGGCTCAGGTCGTGATCCCGGGGTCTGGGGATCGAGTCCTACATTGGGCTCCCTGCATGGAGCCTGCTTTTCCCTCTACCTATGTCTCAACCTCTTTCTGTGTCTCTCATGAATGAATAAATAAAATCTTAAAAAAAAAAAAAGACTGTTTAAAAAAATAAGGGTAAACTCCAAATGGCAAATGGCAAAAACAAAAGCAAAACAACCAATCACAAAACCATAGGCAACGTCAGAAGACAAAGGACAAGGAGGAAAAGTATTTGCATTTCTGATCCCAGACAGATGGGCAATCTTCCTGTGGTAGGCTAATAATGTCTGTGCCCCCTGCACCCGCCTCTCCCCAAATGTTACCTTAACATGGCAAAAGGGACACTGTGGATGTGACTGAATTGAGGATGCTGAGATGGAGGGATTATCCCAGATTAACTGGGTGGCCGTGCAGTCATCACAAGGATCCTTGTCAGAGGAAAGCAGCAGGGTGAGTCAGACAAGGAGAAGTGGTGACAGAAGAGAAAGAGATTAGAAGATGCTATGCTGCTGCATGCAAGATGGAAGGTGGGGACATGAGCAGAGGAATGAAGGCCGAAACGAGAAAAAGCAAGGAAATGGGTCTCTCCTACGGCCTCCAGAAGGAAAGCGACCTTGTTGACATCTTGATTTGGGGGCTTCCAACCATTAGAAAAATTTGCCACCTCCTCAAAGCCTTACTAAGTGCTGATGAGGCTGTGAAGAAACAGGCCTCTCAAGCACAGATAAGGAAAGTGGAGACTGGATGGAAATCTCATGATTTATCCATGAAAATTCCAAATGTATTTGCCCCGTGACCCACCAATCCCACTTCCAGGATTGAATCCTACATATAAGCCAACACACACATGTGAAATGAAATACATACAAGTCTACAGTCTATTGTTCACTCAGTTGCAAGGGTAATCCTTTTACAGCTTAAGCCCGAGAGATCCACATCAGCCTTCAAGCTGTTTCTCTAACACTTCAGGCCTGCTCTTCTGAGGCCTCTGAACTTGCTATATTTTCTGTCACGCACTCTCCCCAGATGTTTGCAAGGCTCCGTTCCTCATTGCTCTGGGCTCTCTGCTCAAATTTCAACTCATCTTTCAGTCTCCCTGCTTCCCTTACCATTTCCCATTTCCTTACTGTGCTTTAAATATCTTTTCCTTGATACTACCAGACTCTTCATATAGTTATAGGTTTAATGGTTTATTGCTTGTCCCCTTCACTAGAATATTGGCTGCATGAAAGCAAGGACTTTGTGTGTTTTGCCTTCTGCTGAAATCATCAGCATTCAATAGAGTATATTAAGTGTGCAATAGATAGGCGATGCCTGGGTGGCTCAGCGGCTGAGCATCTTGCCTTCAGCTCAGGGCATGATCCCAGAGTCCCAGGATCGGGTCCCACATCAGGCTCCCCTCAGGGAGCCTGCATCTTCTCCCTCTGCCTTTGTCTCTGCCTCTCTGCATCTCTCATGAATAAATAAAATCTTAAAA